AATTTCTGTTGAAGTTCTGTGTGAGTCTCTTTTCATGCTGTAAATGATGATAAGTCCTGTGGTGTTGGTGTGGGATCAGGAGACTGCTGTGACAAGAAAAGTAGGCAGATGTCTCTGTGAGGGACTTGTATCAACACATTCATCCAAATTCTCGTATTTACACTGCTGACTGGCCTCTAGATAACTTTAAATTAAAGAAAAATTGGATCTGTTGTGTAGCCTTTTGGTGCAATTGACTGCCTAAGATGGGCTTTGAATGTTGAACCTGGCCTGGTCCTCTGTTTTGAGAGCAGCTTGTGGGTTTCAGCTTCTCTCATGTTCATGCTCTCTTGTCTTTAGGAGGGACAGTGGGGGACTGAATATTTCACATCAAAAGAGAGGCAATTAGATTTTAAATTTCTGTTAGTTTTTAATTATTGACTTTTTTGGTGTTTTCCTTGTCACTGTAAACAAATCCCACCTGCCATTCCAAATCCACCAGGCTTCTTGCACTTAGTTTTGTAGGTCAGTTTGTGGCACTGACACATCAGTGTCTCAGTCCTTCCCCAGGGCCTCAGGCTCTGCTTTCAGGAAGAGGAGCAAATGCAATGAGTCCTTCTTTCCTTCAGTTTTCCTCTCCTCTCCCATTGAACCTGTTGTGCTTAGCTGTCAGGTTGATAAGGCTCACCTTACCTTGATGTATGCTTGGAGAGAGCAGTTTGAAAAAGGAGCTTCTGCAGATGGAATTATTCTGGTTTACTTGTTATGAAAACCATTTGACAAGCAAACTCATTTTCTTCAGCAAGCATCAGTGACATAAGTTTTCTTTTTCTCCTGAGGACTACCCAACAATTTACAGTTCCTTTGTTTTCCAAGATATACCTGGAAAAGATTTTGTGACTTTAGCTGCAATTTGTTAGCCTGAGAATGGCATTTTCTCTTCCATAATACTTTCTTTGAAAGTTACTTACACAGGGCTTGTTTTGGCTTTGAAGGAAGGAAAAATACGCAGTACCACTTAATTTAGAAAAATCAGCAGTGGAAGGGAAAGGTTTGGGCACTAACTCTGGGGTGGGACTGCTACAGCTGATAGGCATTGTGTGGCTGTAGGCTTCACATTGGCCTAAATGACTTCAACAAACAACAGTAAATAATATTGGGCTGGATTGCGTGTATGTCCATATTAATCCCTTAAACAGCCTAGGAGAGTAAGAGCAGAGATAGACTAATTTGAAAGCAGGCAATAAAATAGTAATGTGCTAATATTTATACACCTTTTTCTTGAAAGAAAGGACTTCATTTAGGAACAGTTAAAGAAAACGAGAACTGAAGTGATTTGAGCTGGGGGCTGGAATGGGTTTTCCAGCCAAGACTTCCAGCTTATCACTGTGCTGCTGCCCAGGTGGAAGAGCATCTCTCTGAAAAAAAAGTAAAAGCAGGTGCTAGTCCTGAGCCTCTGAAACTTTGCACAGATTTCATACTGCACTTTAAAGCTGTGCTCCTGCTGCTACTGTGGATGGTGTCTGTAGTGCTGCTGCAGGAAACAAGTCATGTGGCAGGGCAACTTGCAGAGGCCATGGCTGGAGAAGAGGGGCCATTTAATTATTTCTGGTCTTTTCACTTTTTCTGAGGCACTTGTGCAGTCCTGGCTCAAGGACTCAGTCAGACTCCCACTGTTCTGGATGACTGAGTGTGCTAAGAGCTGTCATCTTTTGCTGTTCCCCTAGCCAGTTTTATGCTCCTCACTTTAATAATGATCCCACTTCCCCTGGCAAGACAGAGTAGCATTGAATCTGTGCCAGATCAGTCCTATTTGTTTTGTTTTCTGGTACAGTGCTATAAGGAGATCCATCCTTTGCTGTCACCTGACCTGTTACCACCTCCTGCTGTTCCCTGCTCCCACTGCCATGATCCAGCATGGGTAGCTGACACAGGTTTGTGTGAGGGTGTTTTCAATTTCCTGCTGCCTCTGCAATCTGTAAATTGGAAACCTCAGAGCACAAGGCTTTATTCCCACTGAGAGAAGGTTCCTCTGTGAACTGGTGGAAGATTTAGCAGAGGTTTTTGGACCTGACAATATAAATTCGTGCTCTGTGTGAGCAAGCCCTGCTTAATTACACAGACACCATTTATTATTTGCTGATATCAGTTTTTCTGAGATTTTTTTTTTAAAGGCTTTATTTTTCTTCTGCCTCACCAGAAGTCTCTTTATGAGGAGGTTTCCAAGGTTGCAATATGTGCTGCTGTTCTGGCAATCACAAGTGTGAACAATAGAGCTCATGGGGTGTTGGACCCTGTTCCTGCCTGCTCACTGTGAGAAGGGAAGCAAGTATGGATTTTGCCACAGGAGATTAATCAAAGATGCTGTTGCCCTCCACAATGTAAATTATTTATATTCAGTCCAGAGTATTCTGCTGTGCTTCTGTTTTATACAGCTGTACATGACTTGGATACGGTCCCAGTGGAAAGTTCTTACTATTTTGTAATGGAAAATAGGAACTCTGCAGTAGAAATCTATAATGAATGAACAGGAACATCATCTTCCAATTGTAAATAAGATCTTGCTCTGTTTATTTTGACATCTTTTTACAAATGTGGTGCATTCAGGTGTAAATATCCCAAACCATGATCTTGTTCAGAGTTCTGAGATTTCTATTGTTAAATGTAATACTTTGTTTAATAGTTGTAATAATTATTTGTATAGATATGAACATGATAGTATTTTATTAAAAAAAGAGAAAAACATTCTTTGAATATTGTGTTCTTTTTTTCCCCATATAAAGCTATGCCAATCACTCTAAAGTAGAGGTAAAAATAAAAGCTTTGCTTTGAGACTGGGAATTTACAGTGAGAGTTTTCCACTGATGCACATTCTCTGCATATACCAGAGTAATGCACCATATTAGTTGAGATACAAAACTACTTAATTCAGAAGAAATAAATACTGATTGTGTATTATCTAAAAAATACATGCAGGTGCTATCCCTGCCTCAGTGACAGCGATCACTGTTGAGATACAACTTCATTTTATAAAATGCTTCTCATCATAGTCCCCTTGCATTGCTTTGGAAGTGGTCTAAGACAGTTGTTTTGTCACAGTTTGAATTTAAAGAATGCAGTTTGGATGAGAGCAGTACAGAGACCCTGCAAGGTAAGTAAATTACCCTGGAGAGATTGCACAATACTGAAGCTGACAGAATTACTAGGAAACAGTTATTTTCAGGGACTCCAGAAAACCTGGCTTGGAAATCTCAAAATACTTGCAGGCATGGAAGTTGCCTTTAGGGATGGTCTTAATTTAAAAAAAGGCTGAAATTTAGTATTGAGACAGAGGGACTTTTTTTCCTTCAGTGACAGTCAGTGTACAGTTCAGTCACAGAGGGGAGGAGAAACAGGACACGAGGGAGCTGCCTTCCTCTTTCACATTGCAGTGCATTCCCCCTGCCTTGGCTGCTCTTCTGCCAGTCCAGAGGCTCCAGGGGGAGTTGTGACAGCTCACATAACCCTGGTAGTTTTCCTAACCTGTGAGGGGATGTCAGTATTGTACAGCAGCTGTTTCCTTCTCCTTTCAGTTGTACTGGGCAGAACAATTTTACCTACATTTCCTGAGAAAACAGGGAATATATGGGATGTAAGGAAGAAGTTTTTTACAATGGGAGTGGTAAAACACTAGAACAGATTGTCCAGAGAGGTGGTGGATGCACCATCTTTAGAAAGGCCTGGTTGGATGGACATTTGAACAACTTGTTCTAAGTAGGAGGTGGCCCTGCCTGTGGCACTGTTATTTCCCTTTCACGAGCTGTGACAGCAGCTTATCCCAAGCATGGGCACAGCAGGGGGAAGCAGGGACTCCACTACCAGCCCATGGGCAGCATAAAGGCCCCCTCACCTCCCAACACAATTCCACAGTGCTGCTCTGCTTTTACCCTACACATCTGTCTCCCTCTGTGAGCAGAGCAAGGTGAGGAAACAGCAGCATGACCCCTGCAAATCAGGGAATGAGGTTCCCCACATACCAGCAACAACCAGCACCCCCACATTCCTGCCCAAGGGCTGTGGGCCAAGGACAGCAGCACTGGAGGCAAGCTGCATTTCTGGGGAAGGGCTGCAGAGCCAAGCGTGCCTAGGACAGCTGGGAGCACAGAGTGCCCAAGTGCCCAGCCAGACCCTCGGCAGCCACAGCCATCTAGGGGTCAGGTGGCCACCAGCTGGGAGAGCTGAAGCACCAACAGAGCCCAGCAGGCAGGGCAAAGCTAAGAGGAAATTTTAAAAACTAACACAGCAAGCTGGAAGCACAGGAGCAGCAGGGAGACGATTCCAACCCTTCCTCCCATCTCTCAGGCTTGAGGTGCCTCTCCTTGTATTTAATTGAATTCTGTTACGGTTTTCTGTTTGTTCTGTGCTGTTCCCCAGCCTCCCTCTCCCTCCCTGCTGCCACTTTACCATTCCATGCTGTGCCCATCTCTGCTCAGCACAGCAAGCCCATATGCTGTTCCACCTCCTACGTCAAGCCTTCCAACTGCTGTTCAACATTATTTTTTCCTCACATTTGAATTTAGAGAAGATAACCAGCTTCCTGTCTAGAAACAAATACAAGCTTGGAACATGGTCTGAGACTACAGATTATGAAAAGACAAGGAAAAAGTATATTTTATAAAAATGTATCCCCAGAACTGGACAAATCTGGGGGCACAGAGGTCCCCCTTCAGTCTGGCGCAGCTCTGCTTGGGAAGAGAAAGGCTGGCAGCCTCTTGTGTCATTCCTCCTCCAGCCCTCTCCTCACCCTGCCCAAGGGACTACAGTGACAAACAAGAGTGTCTGTTCTTTACTCTATGTAGCCTCACAAAGGCAATTTGGTTAAGAGAACAAGCAGGTCATCCACACCTATGCTCCAGAAACACCTGTGGCAGTTCCAAGGGTGGCAGCACCTGTGTGACACCACTGGGCACCCCTCTGCCCTGACTGCTGTGTCTGCTGCTGCTGAGAGCAGGAGCAAGAAGAATTCAGATCAACCTGCAGAGCAGGGCACCAGGAACATCCATTTTATTGACCATCTTGACAAACTCCCATTTAGATAAAAATAAAAACCAGCTGGTGTAAAACTCTTCAAGGAGATACAGACTCTTGGAGTAAAACATCACCAGAGTCACCTGCTTGAGTAAGCAAAAGTGGAATGAAACCTTTGCATCACTAGGCTACATGCACATACACCAAAGTAAAAATGCTCAGGCAGACAAGAATAAGGACAGCAGGCCTCAAAGAACACTTTTTAATTGCAAATTAGCAAAACAGGTCCCGTTTTAGATGCAAGGCCTGAAATAATTCACACCTTATCCTTGTTTTTTTTTTAAATAACTAAGAAACTGAAAATAATGCAGAAGCCATTAAAAAACTCATTTCCAATTCAGACAAGTTGGAGAAGAAAATTTGGTCCACATCTTTAGCTAAGGAGCTCAACACCAATTGCCCCAAAATCTCCTTCATCCTCCCAGCCTATAAGAGAATCTACTTTGCCAAGGCTGTCCAAGGCAAGCTCATGAGAGGAGAAAGTCTGAGGCTGCTGGCAAACCTCCCTGTTCCACCCGGGCCCTACCAAGGCACCCAGCAGGAGCCAAGGGCTGCCCCACAGGGCTGTGGCTTTGCTGTGCGCTCTCTCTCAGGGTCACTCGAGGAGAGCACTTGTGGTGCTGTGACAGAGACCAGAGCACTGCCAAGTGCCAGCAGGAGCTGCCAGAGGAGTGTTCAACAGGAGTGACAGAGAGGCTGCAAGAGAGCAAGGTAGGAGGCTCTGAGTCTGGCAGAGCCCTCACAGGCAGCTCGAGTTCACCACCTCCTACCAGCGCTGCAGCCTTGGTACCGTGGCTCCCCACCAGCTACCAAATGAGTCTGTCCAACAAAAAGAGGATAAAATAAAACACAGTCCCCCCACTGCTACCTCAGTTTGGAGTTCTTTTCTCCCTTGGCTGCTGCAGTACAGGAACCAAATGCTCTCCCTGTGCTGCTGAAGGGACTCTCTGAGGGCAGCAGACATTAGCTCTCTGTGCAGGAAGGTTTGCACGGCTGCTCACCAGAGAGGAAGTGGAGCACATCAGCAGGGAGGAAGGGAAGCAAAGGTCTCTGACATGCCTCTCCTGTTTCCTCCCCCCTCACTGGCTCCAGCACCCGCAAGCCAGAGGGCTGTGCACTGGCCTTGGCCTCTGGATCAAGCCTGCCCCAGAGGATGGGCGGGAAAGGAGTAACATCATCTTCCCTCCTGGTCCCACCTCAGTGCCACAGCACCCCTCCGTGCCTGCTGGGGGATCCCGTCCCCCTGCCCCCACGGGGCTGCTGGCCATGGAAGCAGGCTCATTCTCCACAGACACCAGAGGCCCGGTGCCCTTGGCTGAGCGGTCTGGGACACCTCTGCGCCCCTGTCCCCAGGGACTCAGAACACTGGGATCTTGTCCCTGCGCACCGTATCCAGGTCGTCGTCCAGGGTCAGCAGGACCTGAGGAGGAAAGTGCAAGCCAGATTCAGGACTTGCTGGCCAGGGAGGTCTTCCTTTCAGATCTTCAGGCCTTGCCTTTATGGGAGATGTTCACAAATCCGTGAGTCATTGGTCACAGCAGCAGCCCCTCAGCCTCCCTACAACAGCTGTGTGACCCATAGCCCCAGAAGAAATTTAGGCCAGAAGGCACTGGGAAAGAAATAAGATAAAGGAGAAAGCCTGACCCCACTGACAAGGAGTATCCCACTTTGAAGGATGTCAGGAGGTAGAGACAAGCAGATGAGTTGGGGCACTTCTGTGGAGTTCTGAAGCAGGCACAGCTCCATGTGGATAAAAGGGAGCAAGGTGAAAGGAGAGGGAGAGGCCATCCAGCAGAGTGGGAGGCTCAGCAGGACTCACCAGAAAGGAGAAGAACAAGGCAGCTGCAGAGAGGAAGTGCCAGACATCGTGGTCATCAAAGAATCCCAGCAGGATGCATGGCCGGTTCTTTTCCCGGGACTCTGCTGGAGTCTCCTAGGAGGGCAGGCAGAGGGTCAGGATCTGACAGCCACCCCTACTGGGCCCTTGCTGACCACACTGGACTCTATAGGGATCACCCTGTCTTAACCCTCCAAGCAGGATCCAGGAAAAGTTGCTGTGCTGGCCAAAAATGTGGCATGGGCAGGCCAGAAACAACAAAATGGATCTGGGACCACAGCCCACATGCAAGGGGAACCCTCTGATCTCCATTTCTGCACAGCACATAGGTCCTGCATAGCACAATTTGCACAGCCTCCACCAGGCCACCCTGCAACAAGCCCCTCATTTCCATGGAGATGGATGTGACATCCTGTTAGAAGGCACCCAGTCAGCATTTAATGGCCTCCCAGGTCACCAAGAGCCCTAACAACCCCAGGCAGGTTGACCTGGTTGACTCCAGGTGGCCATCTGCTCCAGGGATGTCTTCCATCAGCACTGGTCAGGATTTTCCCAGTTTTCCTTCCAGATCCCCAGCTCCTTCTTTGTCCCCTAGGAAGGACCAGTCACCTCCAGATCACCTGGTTATAAACAGCCTCTACACAGCTACAGTAATTTTTGGGTCAGCACAGCTTCTCATGCTCCCTTCACAAGTCTGCTACATGAGTTAAACCCTTTAAGCCCCCCATGAGCAGCCCAAGACTCTTCTCCAGAGTAATTTTTTGTGCAAAACAAGCACCAGGAAGGAAAGATGATGAGAAAGAGATGGACAGAACAGTAAAAGGGAAATTTACCTCCCAGCTGCTGAGGGTCTGGAAGAAGAAATAGAGGGCAGCTGCCCACACCACTGCTGTGGCCACGATGCAGAACATGGGAATGGGCAGGAGCTTCTCAGAGCTGCGGAGCTGCAGACAGGGACACACCCTGAGTTCTTTCCAGGGCACACACAGGGCTCACACACCAGCCTGTACTACCTGCATCTGGAAAGGGCTGCCCACCCCTCAAAGACACAGCCCAGCTGCCCCCGAAATGGCTACACACCATCCCTCCCCAGCACCCTGTCCCACCCAGAGCCCCACAAAAGTCCCTCCACATCCCTCTGCAGCACCACAGGAACCCAAATTGTAGCCAGAAGAAAGGCCCATCCCTTCCCCTTTGGAGAAAGGAGCCCCATGGACATCTACAGCTGCCACCCATTACCTTCATGATGATGTAGAAGGCCAGATAGAGCAGCAGGTTACAGATGAAGATTCCCAGGATGTAGGAGGCGAAGTCTCTGGGCCGATACACCAGCCCAAAGATAGCACTGAGAGAGAGGATAGAAGGGACATCAGGCAGCTTCTTTCACTGGGGATGGGGTACATCCCCAAGCTGACAGCCACACGCTGTTCTAGCCCCAACCAGGACTGCAGGACACAGCACCAGTGCCACAGCTTCCCAATTCCCTGGGGGAAATGCACCATTTGCCTCTCCTCCCAGCCAAGGAAATTTAGCCATGGTCAGCTGCTGAAGCAACTGGAGACCCCAGAGAACAGGCAAGGGCTCTGGATTGCTTCCAACCCATGGTCAAACACATCTCACCCAGTAGGATCTGGCCCTGAGAAGCAGCCTTAGTGAAAAGCAAGAGCCTGGGGCAATGATTTTAGGTCTCATCCGAGAGTTGCTACTGCAGTTACTGCTCAGCCAGGCTCTGTGACTGTGTCTGCCAGGTCTCCTGCTCCTTGGCTGTGCCAGAGATCTCCCAGCTCTGTGGGAAGCACAGCACAGCAGCACAGTACAGGCCAGCCCTGCACAAGCTCCTCAAACACGAGCCATGAGACACCCCCAGCTGAGACGCTCAGGGGATGCTCCATGCAGCTCGAGTGCTGCACTGCATCCCATGGATCTGCCAACCACCCTCAGATCAGCCTGCCTGCCAAAACATGTCAGAGGGCCCCAGCACAGGATTACTGCACAGAACTGCTGCATCTCCCCATCACTCCCAGTGCCACCCATGTCCCAGTACCAAATCCTGCTGCCCACATGCACAAATACACAAAGCACCAACACACCAGTACTTACAAGGACCAGTTGACCAGGTTCCCAACAATGAGCAGCACCATCCTGTCCTGGAGAAAAGACACTGATGATCATGTAAAATGCAAAGAGTATGCAAAAAGGCCTTTGCCTCAGAAATTCAGGAGAGAATTATATGAGGATTTGGAATCCAGTCCCTACAAACACACATGCACCTGGATCTATGTGAGCTTTTATGGGTTGGAAACTGCTCTGACCTTCAAAAATTTTAAGTAAGGAGACTAAATATCTAAAAAAGGACAAGCTCAGCACTTAAGAGATCAACCTCAAGAGGTTCCGTGAATCCTTTGACTGTTTCTACTGTTTTTCTAGTTAGATTCCTTCCCTCCCACTGTTTTACAAAAGAACTATTGCAGAGAGCAAGGACATGCTTGAAAAAGGTAGCAGAGAGGCTTTGGACAGCATCCTGCACATATTCAGGGAGCCTTTTTTTCCTTGCCATCACCATTAGCTGGGGAAGGACTGTAACAACAGCAGGCAGAATGATTCTATCTGGGGGGCATGTGCATTTATGCTTACAGCTGCTTTCATGATGTAGCTGTTTAAGGCTGGCCAGGCTTACTTCATGCCTGAGTGGACCAAGTTTGCTTATTCAGAGATGGGAGAATAAATAAAAAATAAGGAAGGCTTATGGATAAAAACTTCATGTGGCTTCAAGCCCTAATTAGCACTCTTTGCTAAGGAGAAAGCAATCAGTGGAACACAAGGTAACAACCACCTTTTCTTAACTTTTTGTTATCTGCCCTGAGGTGCTGCAGAAATGGCAATTGCTTTTGCTTAAGTCACAGACCCAAAATAGCTGCAGCCTACCCCAGAGAGGCTGCACTGCACAGAGCCTTGTACCTGTTCCTCTGAATGGATGCTCCCAGAGAGCAAGTGCAAAAGCAAATCCTGTCACACTTGTATCACCTTTGCTCTGATGTTTTATTCACCAAGCCTGAGATCACGGGAGGCCTGGAGGCTGGGAGTAAACCACTCCAGCAGAGATCTACACTTACCCAACCTTTTTGGGGTAAGAAGAACAGGGGAAGCAAGGACCATCACTTTTTAAAGTGATTTTTACCTCTTTCCTCTGCACATTGCCTAAAGAAGTGAGGAACTGCAGAGAGGTGCTGGGATGAGAAGTCACCTACCATGTACATTGGTCGGCTGCACTGCTGGATGCAGTCCGTGTACAGCACCATCACTGCTCGCCGAAATATGCCCATGTCTGTCAAAGCAAAGGATAGAAAGCCAGAACAGCCAGCACACTGAGCTCCAAAATGCCTATGAGGAAGAAGCTGACATCCACCAGCTGACACCAGAGAGCCCAAGGTGTCAGCAGATTCATGTCTTGCCCTTCGGAAGCACTCCGTGCTGAGCAGGAGGGCATCCACCACAGGATGTAGATGGCAGTTGTCCAGAACAACAAGTTACAACAAAAATAAATTTTAAAATCCTTTCTAGTACTTCTAGCACTGCTCAGAAGTCACTCAGGCCCTGCCTTTATGTGTAAAGAAGCTGGCTTTTCAACCCCATCTCCAGAAGAGGGGTGTGTGTGTGTGTGTGTGTAGGAAGGGGTAAAGCACCTTCCAGGGAACAAGCTGCCAGAGTGGTGAAACAGTAAAAACAGGTTCCACAGGCCTTAGAGGGTCCTAGAGGGGCAGAGCACACTCAAGACACTCCTGCTCTCAAAATCATTGCAGAAGCTTCACGGCAGAGCCATCAGTGGCAGCAGGGATGTGCAAACATACATGAATACACATATTCCCCTTTAGCCACAGCACAGAGCTTGAAAAGGCTCCTGCACCAAGATCTGAGCTCTCCCGTGTTGGCTCACTCCCCTGCTGCCAAGGAACAGGACTGGCAGTGCTGCTGGGAAATTGGTTTCACTTCCCAGGAGCTGACCCCAGGTGGCACACGATGCTGCCTCCCCACACACATCCATGCAATCCCTGGCTGCTGCAGCTCAGCACCATCCGTTCAACAGGGAAGAAGGAAAGCTGTGGTTACCTGAGTCAGGGTCATCTGAGGCAGACGGGGGCACAAGAGGAAGAAGAAATAGGTTTAAGCAGAGCACAAGAGCCAGGCTCCCCAGCAGACCCTCCCCGCCTCACTCCATGACAGGCTGTGGGTCACCCCTCCGAGCACAGCACTAGGGAGAGCTGCAGCTCACTCAGAGCCCTGCAGCCCTGCCACCAGACAGCACAGCCCCTGCTGATTCCCATGGGAGTCAGGAGCACAAGGACTTCAGAGGCCAGGAAAGCATCAGATGGATGAGAGGACAGGGTAGCCCAGAAGAGGGGCCACAGGACTGTGCTGCACAGGCAGGTGAGGAGAGGAGGCACCACACACAGGAGGAGATGGCTGGGCCACGGCACTCACCGATCTTGAAGCGACCCATGTAGTAGATCTGGGTGCTGAGAGCCAGTGAGGCCAAAACATGGATCAGTGAGAAAATAACCCAGAACCACATGTCATTTTTCCCAAACACCTGAAAGCAAAGAAATTTTAAAAGTAAACTGAGCTCTCTTTCAGCAGGACAATCCTTTCCTGTCCTGTTTCACTATGGGACATTAAACAACCTCACTGAACACAGGGAAAACCCCTAAATCTTTCAACCATAAAACAGATCTATAAACTCAAAATTAAGTCCAGAGAAACAAGATTAGCTCAGAATCCTGGAGAGGAGACCATTCTTTCTGAATGCCCCTTTAGACAAGACTGGATGGACAGCAGCTGGCCCAGGGAGCAGAAGCACAAGGCCAAGCAAGCTCTCTCTGCTGGGCTGGGCAGCAGCTCTCTGGCCAAGAGGTGGATTTTTCCAAAGGCAGTCAAGGAACCAACCATTACTTTAACAACTGTACTGAAGTAGCCCAAAAGGTATAGAACTGCTCTGCAGGCAATTGCACCTATGGTGCATTTTCATTTTATTTAAGGACTGGAAGTCACCTGCAAGCAAGCACAGGTTAATGCTACATTAAAATCCCAATTTTTCATTCATACAATAAGAAGTCCAGAAACTCTGATCTGCCATCAGGCTGTGACAACTTCCCTACCCAGGGGCAAAGCACTCACCTGAAATTTTCACTTTGTGTGGGCAGAGATAAAAAAACCACACACCAAAAAGCAAGTGGAAAAGGCAGCTATCCATGAATGGAACAAGGGAGACATGCTGCTTTCAAGCTCCACTGAACAGCTTCAAAGCATCCCACAAAAGACAGAGCAATCCATAATAAAAGTCTCAGTGTTTTTGAACCTTGTCAAGATCTACTACAGCTATCAAGAGATTCTTGAAAAGTCCCAAGGTCACCAGCTCCTCCTGCATGCCTTACCCCACAGACAGTCTCATAAACAGAGACCTCTGCATTATGTGGTAGTCAGGAGCTAACAGCCCACTGGGATCTAGCTGCTAGTTCAGAGCAAGAATTCCATGGATTTTGCCTGGTTACTGATGAATGAAAATGAGTCCTTCAAAAGAAGAGAAGCAGAAACCTCCAAGGTAAAACCCAGCTCAGTACTTGCAATGCTAAGAACAAACAGGCAAGGTTCTTGTAGGTTCTGCTCCAGTGCCCTTCCATAGGCAGGTACTCCAGGAATTTGCCTGAGAGGCCCCCAGACATTATCCTAACCCTGCTCCTCTGCAGAGATAGGAAAATCTACTGGAGAAGCTGTGACAAACAACATGGAGTATTCCAAAGGGGACAAATAGGCACAAGCAACTAGGTATAAGATACCTGTCTTGGAAGCCCAGCCAGCCTCACCCCTCTTTCCTCCAATGTGAATCACACCCCAGGAAAATCATCTGTGTACTTGGACATGTACATCTGGATGCATGGATTTCTCCTCTTGAGAAGGATGGCATGTGGTGGGCAAAGCCCAAAACAAGAGCCCACCTAGAGGAAACTGTTCTGATCTTCTCCTACCTGAATGTTCAGGGGAAGCAAGGAGGAAAGACCAGCAGAACTGAGAATTCCAATGCTAACAGCTGCTTAACACACTCTTCTCCTCCTCTGTTGCTTTTCCCAGACATTTTCAAATGTTCCCAGCCATGTCACCTCCTTCCCAGAGAAGCAGTGGAGTAAGAGGGAGCCATACCACTCCAAGGACAGCCAGGGAGATCACCACAGCAAAGGAGGCATAGGCGGAGTAGGCGCTGGCATTGATGTCTGGGTGCCGGGTCTGGTAGAGCTTGAGCATGCACAGTCCTGCGATCATGTACATGAAGGAGGTGTCTGTGGAGGGACACAACAGAAACACTGCGAACACCTACTGCCAGTGGTCCCAGAAAGCTGCTCCAAGGGCACACAAAGCATCAGGGATCTGTGCCTGCCAGCCTCGGGTTTGGCCCTGCTGCTGCACTGCACTGTACAGCACTTTGTGCTTTGCCACCCTGCAGCAGCACATCTCCATGCTCTGGGGCAAGAAAAACTAAAGGGGATCAGAAAGTAAGTGCCCACAGGGCATCACATCCTCCTGACTGAGCACCGAAACAGGCAAGCTCTAGGGAGACTTGCAAGGCTAGAGAGATGAGAAACATCAGCAACTCAACACGAGACAGAACATGGCAAACCCTAGCTCCAGCTCAAAAGGAGAAAGGAAACTCAGCTTACCAAACTGGAAATTGGAGTAATTAGGGCAGACATGGTAACAGGCACTGAGCACCCCTTCCATCATCAGAGCAATGCCCATAGCATAAAAGAGACCAAAATGCTTCGGGATCCCATAGTCCTGGAAGAGAGCAGAGCCGTATTTAAGTGTCCTCAGTGTCCTGATCACAGGCAAGATTCCATTCTCCATCACTTCATCCCTCCTAACTCCTACACAAGTCCTCCAGTCACCAGTGCAGCACAGTGCCCTGTGTGCAACCACAGGCTCTGGATTTAGATACATGGCATAGCCAGGTGAATCCACAGGCAGCAAACCTAAGCTAATGCTGCTGGAAGTTCTGATCTGAAGACCTCAGCGTCTCAGTACTGACATCATGAAACTGAAAATCTCTGTCCTGTGCCTCATCCCATGCTACATCCTGCCCAAAACTGAAAGAGGACTGACAAGAATTGCTCTTGTGATCAGTAGGGTCTTAGAAGCTCATGAGCAGAGCCCATCAGCCAATGTGAGAAGGCATTTCCATCACAGTTTGGCCAAGATTTCACCTGAAAACCACAAGCAGCAGACCCTTACAACTCCTAATGCCTTTACTTGCTACCAAGTCTGTGAGAACAGAGCTGTTTGTCTCCAGAAACCACCAGCACCTCTGCTCACAGGGCTGCAGACTTTTCCATCCTCTCCCAGAGAGAGGAGAGACTACAGAAGTTCTGGCTACAAGAGTCTCTGCATCAGAGACTGAGGCAGCCAAATTCCTCTGAGTTATCGTAAGCAGCTCTTGTGTAAGACAAATCAAACTTCACTATAAAGAGAAGCATCTTGGGACACGCCTCGTGTCCTAGTTCCTCCACAGCAAGTGCTGCAGGAAAAGCCAGAGCCATGGGAGTCCTTCCACTATTCATCTCCTTGTCTTCAGAGGCCCAGGCTGGGTCACACTACAGCAGTATGGACACACTGTAAGCACTAAAGCACTGGGGTGTGCAGGAACACAAGCATCCCACCTAGACCCTTCTGCACAGGAGTTAAAGAAGAGGAGGATTCAACCCTCCAGCGAGGAAGACAAATGGCAACTCATTGTGTATCACTCTGTTTTTTGAGTTCACTCCATGTTCCCAGGCAATCATGCTTCCTACCAGGGTGTAGATATCTTTCATCTCCATGGCCCGACGATGGAGGATGTCCCTGCGCAACACAATGAGGAGGAAGAGAAAGCCCAGCATCATGTGGCCCACATTGCTGAGGATGTTGTTGAAGGCACTGCAGGAAAGAAGAAGGTTTAAGACAAAGGCAGCACAGCAGCAGGAAGCTGAAGCCTGGGCTGTGATAAGCTGAATCTATTTTTGCTCCCTCCTCCACCACCTTCCACCTCAGCAGCTGCCAAACTGCAATCTAACACTCTAGACGACAATTTAATTTGAATAGTTCACCTGTCCCAGTTAATGTAACACTTCTGTGAGATTCCCAGCTCTGGACTTTCTTTGCACTCACACATTAATCTAGAGAAATGCTACACTGGAAGGACTGATCTGAACTTCTTTGCAGAGCTGCTGCTCCTTGGATACAACAGAGCACAGGAGCACCTCACTGCTGTGCCAGTGATTTGCAAGGTGCCACAAGTTCCAGGGTGCATGTGTCTCACTGCAACAGAGCAGCACTGCTGAGCAAAACACAAAGATCAGAGTCCTGAACTCCCAGTGGTCTTACCAACACTGCTACCGTGAGCCTGGCAAGCATAAAATCCTGACCTGGGCACAGCACAAACACTGGGGAGGCATGAGACAAATATGCAGTGACAAAAGGGCTCACTCACCTCAGCACCCCAAGGGGATGAGCACATAGGAAGTTGTAGTAGCAGATGTCCTGATTGCCAGTCACATTCACTACCTGGACAGAGAGCAGGTGGGAGGCCTGCAATTAGCAAATCCTCCCTGCTCTGGGGGGTTTGCCCCATGCAAACACAGCACAAACACAAGGTGTACAGGACACAGCCTAGCTCTAGCACCAGCACAAGGGAGTACTGACGTCTGCAAGCAAAGCTTGTAGGGTGGGACAAGATGTTGTCAAGGGCCACAAACCTGATAACAGTCTTCAGAGGAAACATTGTGTGCTCTCAACCCCCCCACTACTAGACACGCTTGCAGATATCTGCATGAGAGCAGTATAGCAAAGTTGGGAGAAGGCAGGAAAAATCACAGAAAACACTACTTGCTTTCAGCTGTCTCTTAGAGAAAACAACAATTTCCTCCTGTCTCTAAAATGAAACAGGACCCAAATGAGACATCAGTTGATCAAGAAAACAGCAGCACTCCCCCTTCCCAAGCAGAAATAGCAAAAATGCAAGCCCAAAGAGCCAAGCTCACTGTAACATCAACACAGTGCAGCGAGAACAGCTAAGGTAAACTGCTCCTGACACAGAGCAGAACTCCTGGGTGATCCCAGCTTCACTGTGACTGTCATCTTTGCACAACACAACCACGGGGCAAGTTTAAAGCAAGAGGGGGCAGCCATGGAGGCAAACACACCGTCTGGTAAGTGATGACGAGCTGGATGACCGGCAGGGCATAGAACACCGCAATGGTGATGATGTTCCTGCAGAGGGGAGACAGCAGCAGCACTTACACACTCACCAAAGCCAGGGGTGCACACCCAGAAGAAAGCCCCACAGTGCTTGTGGAGGAATGTGCACACCTCACTGCTCTGGGGTATGATCTCATTGTGAGCCCCTGAAGCAGAGGAGCACTTGTGCTCATGCACACAGGAGGCAAACAAGAGACAAATGCTAAGGGCACAGGAAAAGCCAGGATGTCAGCCACCAGCTCATGTGTTTCAGTGCCAGTTTCTCCCCCTTTCCATTATGTTTCAGTGCACTGGTTGTTACCACCCTTAAAAGCAATGATGCAGAACAGAATTCATTGCCAGGATCGTGTGCACTGGTACACCAATATCTTTACATGAAGTATGTGGGATCTGCAGTTATTGATTGGAACAGGGCCAGAATGGGCTACAGGGTAGTTCAGAAGTGGTTCAGAATTAGGGCATGTGGACAGACTCCACAGCCAGAGACTCTGGGTCCCAAGTTTGCACCTTACCAGTTTGCCTTCTCCTTACCAGAAATAGATTTTGTATTTTTTGCTGACAATTCTTCTGTCTTTCCTGGACAAGTCTGATAGATAGAGGAACACCTAAAACATTAGCAAGTAGGGGAAGAGGGAAGAAAAGAAGAACCAATGTAGATTACAGATGCCAGTAGAAGATCTTGACATATTTGCAGCTTGGTGGTATTTGAACTGGTTTTACATAGTGAACACACTGTGTCCCTTGATTCTATGGAGGTGAGTTCTGCAAAATCCTCTGACCTCCAGGAATGGCTCCAACCACACAGAGCAGTGCAGGATGACAGAAGGAGGCAGTTTGAGAGCTGCTGGCTTAAAGTCCCTCTGTACCTCCAGTGTAGTCACACTGCTTTTACTAAATAGCCACCTACTGTTGCAGATTATTTTCTCCCTATCTTCACACCTCCTTGAACTTTCTGGGACACTCTCTGGGTGTTTTCCTCCTTTCTCAATAGTCCCCAATACATTTTGATTTTTCATATTAAAGCACTCACTTCAGCAGCACTCTTATCAGAGGGGGAAAACTTTCAATGACTGAAAAAAGACTAAGAAGCACACTCAGCTGTATTAGATGAAATCCACCCTGAAAGGGAACGGGATTTTTGAGATTTCAGGGATATAACCAGTTCTGGTCATGACCCAGAGGTGCCCATGACCCAGCACGAGGCCCACACTGCAGCACCAGCCGTACCTTGGTGCGGATGATGTTCTTGTCACTCTCAATTTCAGGCATGGTGTCGAAGTCGCTCTCCTCCTCCACGGAGCTGTCTGTGTCCGAGCCAGGCGGGGCTCCCAGCTGGCCGCCACCGCTGGAGCTGGACTCGTCTGGGCCACAGCAGGGAGAGGAGACACACAGGGTAAAGGCTAAACCCCTCTGTGCACTGCAAGAATCAAACTGTCCCAGATGCTCTGACAAGTTGATAGGGCCAGTTCAAGGAAAAAAATTTTTTCCATGATCCCAAATCTTCCTAAAAGTTTTAGGTGCTCAGCTAAGAGCAGTTTGAAGGACCGTTATCTTCCCTTCTCTGCAGCATTTTAGTTTTCACTCTGCTTTTATTCTATTACTTTTCATTTCTTAACATTTTCTACTCTCTACTAGCCTGAGCTCTGAAATCTGGAATCCTGAGATGAGACAAATACCTCTAGAGAAAGAAGCAGACTGTTAGGGGTCAAAAACACACTCGCCTAGTTAACCTTCAGATTTTATGTAAGCTTTATATATAGCTAAGCTTTTCTAAAAATACTGTAGAACAGAAGACAAAGAAGAAAGTTGATTTTTCAAAGCAGGCAGAGTACCAGCTTTATTCCCACTGCATGCCTGGTACTGGTCACATACAGGTTAGCAGGACCTACCTGCACTTCCCACAGGCTGGGCAACTCCCAGCTCATTGCTCACATCAACATGGGCAGAACACAGGTTTCTTCCTCATTTCCCAAATGCTTTAAAAAGATTTCTTAAAAAGGGGAAGGAGGGGTAAAGTGGTCATTAAGCCCTCGGGAAGTTATTTTCTCCTCTGCCTCCAGGGCATGATTCACCTGTTGGCAGTATGACATTATTTCTTCCCTAGTGAAACCCCTGGGGACCAGAAACTCTGATTGTGCCTTGCTTTATGGCACACAACCCTCCAGCCTCCCAGGGATAGGCATGCTTTGGTTTAAAGGCAGGCTGTGAGCTAGTAACAGGCTCCTAGAAGCTTGCTTGCAAGGGACCTTTTTCAGTCACTAGTAAATGTCCTGCCTGAAGCATTTAGAAGGCAGCTTCTAAGCATTGTCACCCACAGCCCTCAGGTGACTGTAGTTTTGTCTAAGACACATTTCCAGTGACAGTCTCTTAGGGCATCTCTTTCAGGTTTGCCACTTTTATTATGCAGATGCTTTTCCCTAAAGTGCAACCTGAACCTCAAAAACTGCAATTTGGTTTGGGTTTTTTGGGTTGTTTTTTTTTTTTTTAATAGTTGCAAGACACTCCTAAAGTAGCTTGCAGCTTTATTCTCCTCGGGTGGTAAATCACTCTAAAAGGGCCTTCCTTCACCCCAGGGAGAAGCGTCCCTGTGCCCAAATTCTGGAATATACTGTACCAATAGCACCATAGCTGCTTCCCTCAGGAGTGCTGGCTGAGATGGGGTGTGAGGAAGTCATCATCCCAGATCCTGCAATGAAACATCCAGAAGGGACAGTTAGTTTCATGTCAGTGCTTCAAAATGTCTCTGAGGTGAATATAAACAGCTTGAAGAGCTGGAGTGGCTTGGGAAAAGGAACATTTCTCTAAACAGATGGCAATCTCCCTCTAGAGCATACTATGCAAAAGGGAAACCCTTGTTTTGCAGTGTGGAGGAAACCCATTCCCTTCAGCCTCCCCACACAGGGTGCCAGTGAGACTGGCAGCAGAAGCCCCCTCCAGCACCCTGCACAGATCACATTGGGGGGCTGCAAGACTTGGCCAATTTTAGAGCAAGTCTCATGATGTTCTTAACAGCCTTCTGAATTTCTAGTTCTATTTCCACCATTTCATGCAACTCTTCAAATCTCTTCAAATACTGCTACCTTCAGCTATCTCTGGAAGAGTCACAGACTTTGGCAGGACAGCTGCTACATAATTTTAACCAATCAAGGAGAAAGAAAAAAATGCTTTATGCAAAAAGTGGTAATGATCTCGTGCTGATGACAAGAAGGGCAAGCCTTTGAGGGCTAGGAACATCCTGCCTTCTGCCCACATCTATGAAACAAGAAGAAGTGAAGTGCTCTGCTGCCTCCACATTCCCTCTTTTTGCTTCCAATGGTGGAGCTCAGCAGCTGACCTACATGGCAGGAAACAAAGCCAGCTGAATCTCTTCCCTGAGAGGTCAGTCACAAGAGGGAGGGAAGCAAGGCAGCAGGAACAGGACCATGTTTTCCGTTAGTGACAAACAGTGAGACAGGTTAAGTTGCTTTAAAGCTTCATCCCTACAACAATATCATGTGGTCAGTCAGCAGCAAAGCAATGTAGAACGTGGCACAGTATTTAAAGCCTTACTGCAGCCTGGCAATGGCCTGGCTTCCCCAGCTGCATCTCTGGCTTCCCAGTACATGACTGGTCTCAAACTGACAGGCACAGGCAGAGTGCTCTTTCCAAATGGAAATTCTGGACATTTCTGTAACACCTTGTGTAGGTTTTTGTACCATTTTCATTAGCCACAAATATAGAAAGATCTAAAACTTTCCCCTGACTGACCCCAAGTCAGAGAAGCACCCATCCAGCAATGATATTTGATATTTCAAATCCCAATTACTGATTTTCTTTGGCTTGTCTGCTGTGCTTGTTAAGCTGGGGGGTGAAGACTTGGTCTCACATTGTGGCTTCTTTACGCTCCTGCCCCATCCCTCTAACAGAGAAAACAAACAACTCAGAGGAGCATCAGAAGTGAACATGGCATGGACTGAGCACCAGAGGAGGGCTCTGGCACACTGCAGCCTCCAGGTGACAGCCCTTGAGCCCTGAGCTGAGATTGGCTGGATGTTGTTGTAGGTAGCTGCAGGAGCAAGATGCAGTTCTACTCATCACCTCCAATCCAATCTCCCTTTCTCATGGAAGTTTTCCTGTTTCTTTAAAAGTCATTTGGAGATCCAGATCACTGGGAAGAGGGAAAAAGCATTTCCTCATGTTCACAGCAGCAAGGCACAAGCACAATTCCTAGGCCTGTCAGTCCTGTTCCATGAGGATACTCCCTGCACATTTTAGACCAGGATTTATCCTCTCAAGTGACCTGCTAACCTTCTCTCCCAAGTTACCAAAGATTTAAATCTGGACAAACCAGGCAAGCCAAGGAGAAAAGGCACTCTCCCCTGTCTCTAACAGCCACTTTGGACCCAGCTCACCCACTAATTTCCATCCCACTTCCCACTGTGAGAGTGAGTCAGCAAAGTAAATGTGCCACACCAGGGGTGGTTCCTCCAGGGACTGCCTCCACCTGATAGTGAGGATGTGGAAGGGAAAGTGTGCCATGGGATTAAAAAAAAAACAAAACACAGAAGCCAGAAATAAGATGGATACGAGAGCAAGGAGGTACATGGAGTAGTAGGACATTTCAGGACCAATGGCAGACACATTGCTGAGCACTTCCATCCAGTTCCTTGGTGGGGAAAAGGAATGGGGAGTAATGAAGAAGGCAAGTTCCAGGGGTACGTGGGAGGGAAAGAAACTCCAAAGGGTGAGAAGGGGAGGGAAAAAAAAAAAACCAAACAGAGAAAGCCAGCGTGTCCATTGATCTGGAAGACAGGGAAGCTGCTAATTACCATTTTATAAGCATCAGTCAGCCACACCCTGAAGAGACAATAGATGAAGAAACAGCATGTGGGTAGGACATGATTCCTCCCCAGAGGACAGGATGTGGCTGCAACATGCAGTGCCAGGTATGTGGAAGTGGCAATGGATTACAAGAGAGAGGACAGGTCACAGAAGCAGCAGGTGCCTCTGGGAGGAAAGCTGTAAACTATGAAGAACTGTGCTCCTCTCTCCCTTCACAGGGATGCTATTCAGCAGTCCTTGCTCAGCAACCCCATTCTCTTCTCTACTCTCCAGGTCCTTACTAAATCCAGCATATGTGCCCTGCAGCTTCTTTGGGAACTTTCCAAACACCAGAATTTAACTTCCACCTCTCAGCAGAGCAGTTTAGAAGGCAGCTTCTAAGCTGGCTTCAGCACATTAAACCTCAGCTGCAGCATCAGCAGCACTCCCTGGGACTTCTGGTCTCACCTGGCTGAGACTGTGCCTCCTTGTCTTAGACAGTGATTCCTTGTCAGCACCCTGGAGTTCTTCCACAGCCTTGGACAGGTCCCTTCAGCTTACTCAAACTCCCCAACACAAAGACCTTTCCCATTACTCCAATGCCCTGAGACCTGCTCTTGTTTTACAGCAGGATCCATCCCAAATGATATAAAATTTGAGTATATTTATGGACGTTTTTACAATTCCCTGCACATGTTGTGAAAAAAAAAAAAAAATAACACCTTTCACATATTTTCCAAATACAGGGATACATGTGGATCTTAGTGGCTGACAAAGCGAGTCTAAGAATTCAAATGCCCCCAGGTCCTCAGCAGAAATATTAAGCCAATTAATGCCAGTCAGAGTGAAGTTCCACTGCTGATCCTTTACACAGCTCAGTTATACTACCATGCTTATCTGATGGGATGTAGCAGACCGGAGAGACTGAAAAATGCTCACATCAAAAAAGGAATAACATCAAGAACATTTCAATGCTGCCAAAACCATGTCCTCCCTTCCTCCAGGAGAGAGGTACAAATGACCTCAGCACCAATGCTTTGAACTACTTTGCAGGCACTAAATATTTAATCAAAATGAAAAGACTCCCACACCTCACCAGAAAGCAAGAACTCCCAGTGTCCCCCATCCACATGACAAAATCTCCCATCTCTCACTGGCAGCTTCTTAGATGCAGCTCTGTTTTTATGAGGCAGAAGGCTGCAGCTTGTGGAAATGTGGGTGCAGCACAAAGTAAACTGAATCCAGTGCCAACACAAATATCATAAACACCACTACCTAACTCTGTTAGTCATTCATTCACCTGGCTGTCTGCAACTTTCACTGAAAAACAATTTCACATTTAAATTAAATTAAACCATTAAAAGACCCCATGCTTAAACCAGGCAGAGGAATTCTTAACACATAAGAGCTGACATACTCAAAAGTGCCTTGTTTAAAAATCAGCAGACCTGGCATCAGGAGCATTAGCCTGTAGCCAGGTCCAGACAAGGCATGGCCTTCCTCCACCCCTTTAAAAGGCAGCTCCTAGGGGTAGGAGTCAGGACCAGGTTGAGGGCAGCTGGCTTCAAAGGCCCTCCCTTGAGAGGGCAGAGAGGAAGCTCTAACACCTTTCCTCAGCAGCAGAGACTATGTGAGCTACCAGGGAAGACAGCTCCAGGACAGAAGGCACTCGACTGACAGCCTGTCCTTTGCCTGGCCTGGGGCCTGTGCTGCTCACTCAAAGCTGTCACACCACAGAGAAAAGACCTTACCATGCTCAGGGCTCAATCTCCCAGCTGAAGCCTTCCTCTGAACCCTGCAAAGCAACAGACAGCACTCATGAGACAAGCCAACAAATCTCATCAGCTGCCAGCCATGGCAGGATTATCTAGGACACCAGTAGGTAAACATGGTGCAAGCTGTAAAAAAAACAAATAAAAGCAACAAAAATAAGCACAAAAGAAACAAACACACACAACAACAAAAAAGAAAAACACTGTTTGGACTAGGCACAACTCAGATATGACTGCTTGCTGTCCACCTCTCTAACTTCCAAAGCAACAGAGGGCTTTTGTACTCCCTCAGCTATCCACCAGAGGCAGGACAACCATTTCCATGACTTATCCCATTCTACAAAGCTCAGTATGCTGGGAGAGACCTTCACACCATCTTTCCAAACCCATCTTCCCTGCTCAGGGGAACAAGCACGTATGAATCTACTGAAGTGGCAGCAGGATTTAGAGACAATAATGCTTAAGAAGCCCATATCACCGCTGTCAATGCAGGTCAAGCAGAAAGAAGATGGTAAAAACAAAAAAAAACAACAAAAAAACCTGTACCAACATATTCCCACAACCCGTACCAACATATTCCCACAACACAGAACAATACCAGCAAATAAGAGCACACACTTATGTAATTTCATTGAATTGTTCCAATGAAATGTATTTTTATTGGTGTGTCTTGAAATTAAGCCATGCCCACGCAGACATTCTTCTCAAAACAAGCCCAGACATCAAAGTCTGGGGCAGGGGAGGCAGATAAGGAAGGAAACCAGCATTCTTGGGACTCCAAGGCCCAATTTGTGTCACTGCCACTTATTGCAGCTCTCAGTCCAGCATGCTCTCACACTCCATATCCCAGACTGGTCCCTTCAGAATTCCCACCTGCTGCCCAGTGTTCTTACATAAGAAAACACAGGGTTGGGGCACTACAAGACTGGGAGGGCAGACCCTTCCCAGGGTCCCCATAGCAGAGGAAGAAGTATTTTCTGGCTGATGGTCAGTAGCAGCCCACTGAGTAGTCATGGACTTCTTCAGTTGCTCTGCTTAGATGCTTGTCACCCTACTCATCCCAAAATTTCTGCAGGGTGTGGTGTTCCTGATAATAAGAAACAGGAAGGCTGTTCTTTTATAACTCCTTGACTCACCTAATGTAGTGCACAAAAGCAACAACCACTGAGCCCAGGTAAAAGGAGAGGAAACTCAGGAAGCTGAAGAACATGGCCTGGACATAAACAGACTCTGAGGAAAGAGAAGGGATCAGTCAGCTCACAGAGCAGGAACAGCACCTCTCAGGCTCAGCACTCTTCCCAACACCACCTTGTAAAAATGCCCAGCCCCAAACAGCCCTTCCAAACCCATTGGCTTTCTTCAAAAAGAATTGACAGAACCTGTTCAGCACAATCTCCCCCCATTTGTTCACCCCCAGTGCTAGCTGGTGTGCCACACAGCCCTTCCTGGAAGGGAGCAGGCTCCAAGTGGCTTTGTCTCCTTTGCTGGTGGTCTCTGCACCATTCCTTTAGAGGCTGCTGGCCCAGTCATACCCCTGTATTCAGAAGTGCCAAGTTCCCCTGTAAAGCTGCAAAGTCTCTGCCCAAAGACACTGACTTTTAATGGAGGGCACAATTGTCACTTGAAGGTTCTTTGTCCGCTGCAGGTTCCAGGTACGGTTGACATTCCCTGTGAGGTGCACAGTGTACAGAAAATATAAAACAATCAACATTAATGATTTCTGGCACTGATCTTGGTTCTCTGAACTGCAAAAACAACAGGGTCCAGCTTTTCATTAAAATGTGTGGGTGGTTTTGCTTTAAAATGTTCTCTGATCTATCAATACACAGCCTTTACCAAATGTTTCCCCCTTCCTCCCTGTTCACAAACTTTTTTTCAGACTAGAAATCCCTGCTTGAGCCTTCCATGTATTGCTTAAGTCTGGATGTCTGAATCCCAAAGGCATCTCATGTGCTATTCATTTAATCCCCAAAGGAGATATTCTCTTATTACAGGTAGTGGGAGTCCATTTTTGCCTTTGGCCAAATCTGAGAGTAAAACACTTCTGTGCAGGATGCCACTCTAGAAACTTGCTCTGTTTCTGCAGGGCTTAGCATACCTGGCCAGTACAGCTCTGCTCACAGCCTTAGGATGAAAGAATGACACTCCAAAGGGCACAGTTCTCTTTTTTTGTGGGAAAATTGGGGCAGAAAGGTGGCAGGGGAGTAGTAAAAAGCTGTTGAGGGAGCCCAGTATATCTATTGGTCGCAGTCTTGCTTCTTCTGCAGGGAAGAAGCTTTAAGGCTTTGAGAATTGGAATGTTCCCACTCCAGTTACAGCCACTAAATGAGTAGTGGAGACTTTGCTTTTACCACTGCCCATCAAGAGGACACAGTGTTTTCTGGTTGGAAAAGACACTAGAACAAGTCTTTTGTAAAACTATTTTTCCAGAATTATCAATTTTTCCTGTTACCCCAAGTTCAGAGCTGTCACAGATCCCAAGACAGCAGTTGGAGAAGATGCTCTCTGCAGGAACTGAGGCTCCATGGAAGCAGGAGGATAATACAGCAGCAGGAAGCAGAGGTGAGAACCAAACAAAAAGCTGTAAGCAGCATTGCCTGGATGTCTCCAGTGTGCCCCAGTGGTGCTGCTGAAAAGCACATAACCCCAGCATGCCAGCCACTGTACTAGCCAGCCACCTCCTGCATTTATCAAGATTTTTGATGGCCCAACAATATCAAATTGATACTTCACTCTCCTCACAACTACCTGGATAAGACAGTCCTAAAAAATCACCTGGTGGCATCCCACAGGAAGGTCCCAAAAGACACCCACTGCCCCATCACTCAGATGCAGCAATCAAATCAACCTCCCACAACAACTTACCATGAATTGAAGAAGGCACAGAACCTCCACAGGCATAATCCTCTGGCTTGATGACGAACACAACAAAGAACTGCTCACCTGGGAAATCTTTTCTCTGCACAGAAGGGTGGAAGAAGACAGAAAATCCATGAGACATAAAGCCTCTCCCCTCCAACAGGCCAGAGATCAGGTTTTAATTGCTACACATGCACTAGAAAACACTGGGACACAAATCAGCATCTCACCTGCACTGTTATGGCTGCCTGCTTTGTCATAGACTGATAAACTCCATTGAACTCCACATTATGGTCCAGGTCATACACTGGGCACTAAAACAGATAACTAAGGGTTAAACCAGGGACAACATCCAAACTATTTTCAAAGGAAGCCAGCTGGAAAACACAGAACAGCAAAAAAAGGCCCAAGCTGGGGTATCCAAGGGAACAGAACATCTTGCATGTCTGTCTGCTCCTATACTGCAGGATCCTGCATTATTCAGGGAGGTGGGGAAAGAGAATAAGTATGGGGCTATTTCCCAGCTGCAAGCAACAGCCAACCTCCATGACAGGGAACACCCTGGGAAAGGGGATGAAATATATAGAAAGGAAATCAAACTGGAAAGGAAGAAAGACATCATGTGTCTGAAAATCAGAAGTTCCCTAAGCTGCCTTGAGCCAGGGCAGAGTCAAGGGAATGGCACTGTTCCCTCCCTGAGCCACCAACGTTCCATCCAACATCCTCCATGGGGAGACAGACGCATATCACAGGGCAACAGAAAACCTCACAAGAGAGACAAATTCTCTATGTGGAATGTGTTCCCTATGGATAGGCTAGAAAGGAACAGCTTGTTCACCTATTTACAACAAAAGTCTCTGTATGAGTTGCTTGAATTCAGTATCTCTGACTGAATTTTCATTCCTCTTTCAGGGGCTCCCTTCACCACCACCACCAGGGCAAAGCCCTGCCTTGGGCTTTTCCCTCTGCAGGGCACAGACCCCTCACAGCTGGACACAGCTCCAAGCAGGCAGCTCCTCACCCTTCTCTGCTTGGACTTACCACAATATCCTGGACAGAGACAACTGAGCATGGGTAGGTTGCATCAGACACCACATTAATGATGACTGAATCAACATCCTGAGGAAATTTGTACAGAAAATACTGCGGAGAAAGCAGAGTACAAGAGTCACGATTCAGAAATCACCCTTGGCAATATCTTCAGGAGCCCTAGATGGGCTTTGGGGTTGGATGTGGATGGCTTTCATAAAAAAATCAGATTTCAAACATTAAGACCTTACACTACAGAAGAGCAGATTAAATATATACAGGCAACTGCCCCTTTTGCACAGTATGCTATTAGATACAAACATCTTCAACATGTAAAACACAGCATAGCTTCTGCTCCCTTAAGCTTTTTTCACCTGATGAAGCTAAAGTGACTTCATTTTGCACTCCATTCCATTTTACATTGCTATGAACAATTTCCAGATGTTTCCATACTGATGGCTGTACTTTTATAGATGGCAAACATCACTGATCTTTCTCAAAAGGGGTTGCCTCAAAGACAGACCATGAACAATATTAGGTCAAATGGCTGAAACTCTGTCAAGAGTTTAAGAAATTAATTATTGATATTTGTTGTAGGATTCAGGTTATTCTTTGGCTTTGATGGCAAAGCATATTGGGGGTTTCTCTTTGCACTTGAGCTTTGAAATTACTTCAGCTGTAACTCTAAAAAAAATTTGTGAAACACTAATATCTGGCAATATTCCTACTTTTCCTGTGGGGGAAGGAATAGCATCTCCTTCATTGAGCAGTCCTACAGGATATTTTGTGGGGTTAGAAAAAGCTGTTTTTTCAGATCTGAACAAAAGATGTCCCAGGCAATATCATTATTTGTATACTTGTCCAGTAAAAAGTTTGCTGCACTACCCCAGCCAGCTGCTGGAGAAGTGGGGCTCCTGTGCCTGCCCCAGCAGGATGCTTGCTGCAAGGGCTCTCATCACCCCCCTTGGAGGCCAGACCCTGAGACCTCAGGCTCCAAGCCACAGCTACCACGAGGGGCTGATGAGCACCTCATACCCCTCAGAGGGACACAAGGCTGAGGAGTGCCACCAGACACCTTCCTCCCTTCCATATGGTCACCACTGTGGCAGCCATTGCTGCTACACTGGAAGCTACCACCACCCCTGCTCCAAAACCATCACCTGAGACTGTCCCAACTCTAGAGCTCCCTTTCTGGCACATAAACTTTAGTGCTGAGCAAGCACTAAAGCACTCCAGCTGCTTTCTGTTTCTCTTCCCCCATGCCATTCCCAGGAATTACTACCCTGAAGTGGGAGGACAGGGACAAGCAGGAAATCACCCAAGCCTTTTCCAAGTTGCCCTTTTCTACTAAAGCCTTTATTCCCACCACCCCTCCCCAAGCAGGGTCCCCTCCCTGCTGTAGGAGTGCTGGCTCCAACCACAAGTCCCTGCAAAGTGCAAACTCACTGAGCCAGTTTCCTTAGCAGAGCACGTTTTGCCTGCACCAAGCAAGGACACAGGCAGACTGAGCTCCTTGGTTTTCCAGGGGCATTTTTTCCCCTTGGAAAGTTTTAGGGGCATGAGGACCACTTTTTAGTCCACAAGGACCCTTCTATAATTTCCTCTAAGCCGTGCTTGCACCAAGGTACACAATTAACACAAGGGCACTGAGGCCAGCAGTTCTCTGCTGCATACACTGCAAGTGTTAAAAACACATCCAGCCAACACTTCTCACCTATACAAGCATATCCAATTTCTGCTTCTGCCCTCAGGCACAAGCTGGGCTCCAGCCATCTCCTTCAGTTTTTATGTCTTTTTACAACACCCATCTATATTTTAAATATTCCTTTCTTTCTTCACGCTGTTGACTGCTTAATATCTTGATTTATAAACACCTCAGCATTATACCAATGAAGAAGCAGTCTTCTACTCCATACACCTTGTTATTAATTAAAAGTCATAAATCTCATATTATTGTGACAAAAAAATCAGACCACAGTCACAAAGTTATTTTCATACCCTAAACACTCTAAATTCTAATTACAAAATCATAAGTAATGAGCACTTATAAAGAGCCTCCATTATTCCCTATGCTTCTATAGTATAAAACATTGCATGAATCTGCAAACCAGATTAAGACATTTGTCAGCAAAAAGGATTAGCTAGGATGCCTGGTAATACAAAACCTAAAATTAAATGGTGTTATTAACATTGAAAGCAACAAGAGAAACAGAGTCCCAGAAACCTGGGTAAATCACACACCCTCCTAGCTCTACAAGTTCCTGTATCTCTACAGTTACTGCCAACAGTATTTTCATTCAAGAGAGGATTTGTATCTGCAGGGCTCTTAGCAAAGCTGTTCAACTGGAGGTGCTGTTCATATGTGCCTCCTTCAGAACTAACAGACATATTGTTGTCTTAAGTTTTAGCTTTCATGTTTTCTAGATTCTGTACTGTATTAGTATAGAATTCTGAATTTCATACAGAAAGATCAAAGATCACATCAACCACCTGGATAGGGTAAGACATACAAGCAATCTACACAGGACTCCTCCTTACCTGGGGCTGGGAAGGGCTGGCAGTGAAGTTAAAGGCTTTGTTGGTCCTAGAAAACAAATGCCAGAATGTTGAGATCTAAAACTTTCAGAGCTGGAATACACACAAAGTACCCTAAGATTAAACAATTTGGTTTTTAATTCCTGGGAAGGAAAAATAAAGGAAGAGTAGGCAGAGGGACCAAATCCCTCAAGTGATGTTCAAGTGATACATGAAGAAATTGCATTTGTATTCTCACATCCCAGCTTACTCAAGTTGGAAGTTCTTCAGCCTGGTGACTAGCAGCTCATATGCAATATTGAACGGTGCCATGGAAGCGACATCCACAAATATAATCTGGTCAGAGGGTCTTGTTTCAGGTGTTGGCTCAGAGGGACACAGGGTCCGACTCACTTCTTGGTAATTATAGGTCCTCTGATAGCTATAACAGCCAGGGAAATGAGGAGAGAGAAAGTTGGATGGGAAAGAGAGAGAGAGAAATAAAGTAAGAGTGCAGTTAAAAGGTTTTTCAGCACTAAGAATGGCATCATTTTCCCCCTATTTGCATAACTGAAATTCTCATCTAAAAGGCCAGGAGCATTCACTCTTATTCAGCATTCAAGCTCCAGCTCTGCTGCCTCTTGCAATCTGCACAAGGGACTGGTCATCCTCAACATTTCACTTCCCTCAGGGAAGCCCACAACAGCTGTGCATCTCTAACATCTGCCATTTAGTGGAGTCAAAGAGAGCACTGACAGCCACTGCTGTACCCATCACCTGCATCAGGCAAAACACTGCAGGATATCTGCTGCTGGCACCAGGATTCAGTCACAGGATGAAGCTTCACATCTTAAATGGTCTAAGGTGCCTGAAAATTCCCTATTTGCAGCCCACTGAGCTCTGGGGTTAATGAAGATACAAAGCAGCATTGCTTTCATAAAGAAGCAGTCCCAAAACAACCACCTCCTAGAATAAACTTAACTTAGATGTTCCAGAGGTGAGAAACAGAAGCTCTTTTTTCCCCAAATGCACTGTTACACAGAAGCTACAGGGCTCTTCCAAGAGCCTGTTCAAACCAGAGTCCAGGAACTACCTGCACACATGGCAGGCAACTGTGGAAGGACAGCAACGATGTGTGGTAGATTCAGTGACTGGTGCCACGGGCAGCTCCCCTGCAGACAAACCTCCTGGTACTCTGTGCACATATCCGAGAAGCCAAGAGCCAAGAGCAGGCTGCCAAGTGAGAAGTTACTATCAAATCCTGGTCTTCCTACACCCAGCTGGCAGTGAACAAGCCCTGCAGTGTACACAGGCTACAAGATGTAGCACACGAGGGAGGCTGCTGATGAGTATAGCTGGTAGAGGAGTGTGTCACAAAGAGCCTCCAGTACTTACAAGCCTCGAAAAATCAGTGGGACCTGCCACGACAGCACTCCCTTCTGCTGGCGCACTACAAACAGGATGGGGTACTGGAGGTTCTCGGAGCTGCTGTTCACGTACACCCGCACTGCATCCACCTGGGGGAAAAAAGAGCATAAGCTGAAGGTAGAGAACGTGGCAGCTCCAAATCGACGTAGGAGAAGTCTTTCCCTGTTCCTCAATCTGACCTAGGTGGTGAAAATATGCACAGGGAGGTCAGCAGTGTTTATCACTAGGCTAATTATTCAGATCCATAAATCCTTTACAGAAGTGCCTCTCTGCTAGTGCTGCAGTCCAGAATCACAGCCCTGTGCCCAGGTCAGAGATGACTGTCCAACAAGACACAGTGGACAAATGCAGAATACATAGGAGAGTTCAGTAGCTTCTGTTGGGAGCAACCCACATAACTTACCTTACAAAAATTAAGCAAACAGATGCAGACACATAAGACAAAGACCCAAAGCTACAACTAAGAATTTTCTTGCTGAGACTCTTATGTGCCCAACTCAATCAGCATTACTGGGAAAGTCACAAAGACGACATCAATAGACAAGGATGAAAAAGCAGATTAGCAGCTGGCTCTCATGTAAACAATTCCAATATGACCATGATCCCACCTAACAAAACAGGAATACACTGCTGACTGCCCTCAAGTGGACAAGAAAGGCTGCTTGTGAGAAAGGGTTTTAATGCATCCCACTACACCAGCAATTGAAATTTATCCTTATATAATCATTGGCCACCACATGTTTGGAGAGGTAGGACACTGTGATGTAAAACACCCTTGTCTGTACCACATGGAAATGTCACCATTTCCATTTGACAACAGAATCCCTTCAGCTCCATCTCCAGAACTGTAGCCACTGATGAAGAATACAAAATACAAGAGCGCATAACTCATCGTATGATAAAAAACAGTCCATCTCAACTAGAGGCCCTGAAATAATGAAAACATATTAAGTAGATAATAGATACACATTTTAAATCTGTCACATCCTGAAAGATTATAATGAACTCTCACTAGATCAGTAAAAGGCTTCTCACAGATATTCTGATTTTATACCCTCCAAGAAGAGTAAATGTACAAGGAGCTATCATGTTCTGAAGAGAACATACAGAATTAGGAAGCTAGAAGAAGGAGAGTTATCAGAGACAGCATCTTAGTCTTACCCCAGGGACACCAGTTTCAGAGAAATTACTTACCTCTGCAATTCTAAGTCAAAGAAAATTTCCTATTTATTCTTGTTTGGTGATTCTAGGCTCTCATGGGAGTTGACATCTAGTAGAACAAAACACCTTCCTGAAAGCCACAATTCATGTCAGTTTTCCTGACATTATCGCCATAATACAGAGGCGATAGCCACCAATTCCTAAAATATTAGGTCTTCAACAAAAAACCCCCCAAATAATTTAATTAAACCCCCTTGAAATAGAAAGGCAGACATTAGAATCTTTTCTCATTAGAATCTTTGCCTTCTGGCTTCTAAACCTTTGCAAAGCTTTTTTGTCCGCTTTTCGGTTTTGCTTTCCATTCACAAGAACTACATACGCAATTCTGTTTCCAAGTATATTTCACCATAAGGAGCTAAAACAAAGTTAAGAAAAATGGCACCACAAAGCAAAACACACAAGAAACACCTGAAGGGTGTCACCACAGGCAGCACTGGAAGAAAACTCAGTGGCTTCCTTAGTCCCAGTAGCTGCCCCAAGAGAGCCGAGCCAGCACACGTTGGTGTAACTTGGGCTGAACAAGCTCCTGCTTGTTTCTTGGTGCTTGCTGTGACAGGGAATGAGGACATGAGTGAAGCTACTGGAACTGAACAAGAAAACAAATCTGAGAGCATGAAGACACAATGGTCAAGCCAGTCTCCTGCAAGGACATGGAACAATTCTCCACCCATAGGGAAAACAACTATCACTGCAGAAAGGACACATTTCAGCTACCTGTCCAGCAGCTTGTTGCCCATGAAACAGTTCAAGCAAGCCCACCTCCACAGGTGAAGTGATTCTCGCTTGCCTCAGGCTGGACATGGCCCTGTGAACCCTCCAGGGCTCAGCACATCAACTCAATGCAAAGGGGAGCTCACATCAAACTCACAGCAAATACCACTACTGGCTTACACATCCTTCAACTATCCACAAATACAAGCCAGAAACTGGGAAATTATCTTCTCTGTGGATTTCACAAATAAAGACCATAACCCAGGACATGAGTTATGCATATACTGCAGATAGTCAGGTTTTCTTAATTGTACATGAGTATGTGTACATTAAATTAGTACAATTCACTCCCAGCCCTCTCCTTATAGGAGAGGTGTTCCTTTATCGGCTTTGTGGCTCTGCACTGGACTCACTCCAGTAAATCCATACCTTCCTTATATTGGAGAGACCAGAACTGGGCACAAGCAGGATCACCTAGAGCCAGCTGACCATGGATGGAGACTCCATAACCTCTCTAGAAGACTTGTTATGATGATTGATCATCCTGACTAAGAAAAGAGTCTCCCATCTATTCTAAAGAAGCGCAAGGGAAGGGAAACAAAAGCATTCATGATTAATGCCTTGACAGAGAAAAGCCTGAGATCTGGGAGAAAGTCCCTTCCCTCTGCCATGATCCAGCAGCCAGACCCCTCATTTCGTTTCCCTTTTTCCACAAAACTAAGCTGATTATACACCACCTACAACATTTATTCAGCTTTGCTGCTGATTCCATTAGCTTATAATACTTGTAGGAAATAGGAATATCAGGAGAGGGAGGTAAGAGTCTCAAGACTTAATACTCTTTTAAATCTAAGCACTTACCCACAAGAAAATAGGTATATCCCATATTACTACCATAATGACTTTTCTACATTCTTACTGTGCTCAGCACTCTGTATTTGCTCTCTGTAACAGCTGGTTATAGCTTCTTTGCCCTGCTCCCCTAGAAGTCCATATTCAGGTGCCTTGAGCTCTTTTTGGTCTCATCATATCTGGGGCAACATCAATCTGCATCAAGGCAGGACTAGTTATGGCCTAGACTCACAGATGGGATCCCACTACACTTCTTCCCCCCTCTCACCTTTCTCTCTGTATTCTACACAGGCAAAGCTGCTTGCCAGGCCACATTCAAACAGTGTGCCTCAAACATAGAGGAACATCTGAAGTCAGAAACAACACCTACAGTGGAGCTTGTTAAGAAGATCCTAATGTAATTTAAATTTCACCTCAATATACCAAAAATTCCCTTGCAATGAATACCTCTGCTCCTCCTACATTTGCATGTACCCAGATCAGTCTGGAGCATCACGCTGAATCTAACCTCATCAATATCTTTATTATAAAGTTCAAGAAACAAACAGGGTGATTAAGAAGCTGGACAGATGGAATTGAGGTTCCAGTCCATCTAGTTATCTACTCTGCTGCCATTGCCACAGCAGTATAGGACTTCTTGTGAGCAGATCCTGCACTTCCAGTGGAGGGGCCAGATCCCCATCCCAGGGCGCAGCTCTGCTCTCCCCTCACAGCATCTCAGGGATACAGCAGCAGCTCCCAAGAGCTTTGGTTGATAGGCATCTTCCTTATACAACAGGAAGTGTTGCAGTGTTTTCTGCCAAACACTGCAAGAAAACAGGTAGGATTTGCCTTCTGGCCAAATCTGCAGAAGAAATTACCAATTAATGGTTGATGACTTGGAAATAAGCTTGGGTGTAAGTCCAACAAAATGTAGGTGCAACTATGACGGAGCTTGGGAAAGTGCAGAAAAAATTATCATTTAACTGCAACCAGGGCTTCTCTTCATCTGTTGTCACTCACTCTCCAATTTACTGCTACAGATTAGAAGGAACCCTAATTAGTGTCTTGGAGAAACACATTTTCCATGTCAGGATGAACTGTCTAGCAGGAGCATCTCAAGAGGCAGTGATAAAAATGTAACACTTATGAATGGATGTTTATGATTTTTTAGGCCTTCTTTTATTTGACTTTAAACTTGTAATCCATGCTTTGCTCCTAGATTCTCTTGCCTTGATATAGACAACACATACATTTTCATGCTACAGATTTAATGAATTCACTATTGAGCCAGTGTTAGTAATCCCATCTTTCCCTTTGAAAGTCATTTGGCATTTGACTTCAGCAAAATATTTTTAGAAGAGCAAAAAAAAAGCAGGAGGTGAAGAAAAAAAAGTGACTTATTTACTTCAAACATGCTTCCCCCCTCCACACCTTTCCAAAGGTTATTTCATTTTAAAAACAAGCAGTTCTAACTCAAGAACCCTTCCCTGCTACAGAACCACTGCTCCCATCACACATACCTCTCCCTTCCAACACAAAATTTCACGTAAAGAGGAACTCCAGTGGAAAAGCAGTGTTTTAATTTAAAATTATAATCATCACAAATATTATGAGCCTCCTCTGCATCCATCTCCACTCACTTAGGACTGGAGAGATGAGGAGAAAGTTTTGCCTGAGCAGAAACAGGGTCAGCCAGGCTGCTGTCACTCCTGCACTGCCAGCACTGCTGAGGGACTTCATTTTGGAGCAGATCATTGCCAGCCCCCCAGAAAACTAGTTGCACCTTCCCCTTCCTTGCACATTCACAGTAGGAGGCTGTCTCTATTGGTATTATAATATAGTGCTAGACTTCACCTGCACCCTCCAAGCTGAAACCCTCATCTCGGGAAACAAACTTGTGTACCAAATGCTCCCTTGGACAAGGCAGGCCCTGCACAAATATTTGTCCCCAATAACCATACTGCTGCCTTTTGTGCTGTAGGGCTGAGGCAGGTTGGGACTGCTTCAGAGACTTCTGCTCCTCACATTCCTTCCCAGCGCCAAGGCTCTGCCGTGTGCAGGGGCGATTCACCAGCCACGCTCATGAGAGTTTTGTTTCTCAGATGACTGACCTTGAAGTTTCTCCTGTGTTCCAAGGTGGACAGAGCAATAAGACAGCTGAATAAAGAGAGAGCTCTCAGCTCTGCATAAAAACGTGTTAGACCAGGAAAGACAAATATTTGTACTTCAGTTCCACCACCACCACGGAGATAGGGGGAGGGAAGGAAAGAAAGGAAAAAAAGTACAACTGAATTCCATTCTCTAGATGGGAACAGGCAGAAGC